CTCACAGATTACCAGCAGGCTAGCTACCTAGGCTTTCCATCTCAGTCCACAGTGGTGACAACGCTTTCTACATTTTAAGACTTTCTTTTATTATTACTAAAAAACAGTTACACATTAATGTTATACAAGAAAATTAATTTATAAAGGATTATTGAACGTGTAACCCGTACCAATTCCCACATAGTAATATTATATGCTTAGTCTTATGTTTTATGCAATTGCGCAATTTATAAGATTGGAGGTAATTATGCTAATTAACTTGACTTGACTTAATCGAGGATAAATGTAAATGTCTATGGGCAAAAGAATCCACTTACCACCAGATGGATTGTGTTCTCGCTTATTCTATAAAAAATACTTGCTATAGTATACTATTCAATTTACCTACCGAGCGTTGAATACAAGGCAAATCGTCAGCATGGGTAAGGCCAATGTCCAACAGTAGACTTTTGGGGGGTTGCTGTTAATAGAGAGCAAAGATTTCATACCACTAAAAGTATACGGAAGAGTACAAAGCGCATACACTGAATTCCCTCAATCCCTTGCGAAAAAAAAAAACAAGTATCAGTCAATAGAACTTTGCACCAAAGCTCGCTTTAGCTGTGCCGTTTTTTTCGGCCATCGATTGGAGCGTTCACCATTTACCGGAATTGGTTCAAATATGTCTGTGACTAGCTTTTACACTTATTGTCAATGTCCTAAAATGGCTTTAGTGTTAGTACTTATTCAGTGTTAAACAAAAAAACAACTTACCCTAGATTATTATACACTGTTGGGAGTGTCTGTTTATTTTTATTTTTAACATAACCAAATGTTACCAGTTTTAAATATTTCATTGTGGATGCTCAGGTCAAAAAAGAGCCATTCTGCATGCTATTTTTGGTTGTAGCACATGTTCTATCGGCAGCAGCATCATACATAACTGCACCAAATATATTCTTAAAGGTTTACTAACACTATTGTATACTTATTGTCTGCGTCATGTTTCCATGCATGGTATCACGTGACTTTCCGCGAAAACGTCAGTATAGGAAACCATTCATCCAAAATTATTCCTCCATTGACGTGGCAATTTGACGCCACAAATTATTTAAAGTTAACATTGTGGTGCAACTCCAACCTTTTAATCCTCAACATAAGGTTGCTTTTAGCTTTGATGTAATCCACGATCTCTGCTTTTGTGGAGCAATGCTGTCGCGACGGATACAGCTGCGTCATGCTAGTCCCATAATTGAAAGGGGTGCTTTTTGAAGTGAAAACTTCTTTAGCATCGTTGTGATTTAAAACTCAAGGAAACGAAAAAGGGACACTAAAAAGAGACAAATATATAAATCTGTAGGAAAGAATAAAAAACACGATAAACACTGGAACTACCCGTCCGATTTGATAAGCTCTCTTTGTATAGTAAAACCAGATCCACAACAAATAGTTATAAGCTATTATGTATGAGGCTAGACCTCTGAGCTAGCCTTAAATACTAATTTTTCCTAAGCAGGCCAGGAGAAAAAGCGCCCAGGAACTGCTTTATCCACGTGCGCTGGCGTAATGGTTAGTGATACATAAATAAAATATAACAAAAATATAGATATTTCTTTTATCTAAAAAACGCCTGGAATATCATGGGCCTATTTCTTATACATAAGCTGCAATAATGATATTTAAGACGAAAAAATATTGAAAATTAAAAAGTTAATAATGAGCGTTATTATTAGGCATAGCATATTAATCTTTACAAACGAAAGTAACTTTGTCATAAAGAAAAATTTATGAAGATAAAATTTGATTTCGATAGCATGGTATTTGGACGCATAGTTAAGAGATAGTGAAAAATTAAAATAATTCAACATTCAGCTCAGCGCGCGAATGCAGCCTAGGCACCCGATGAGAACGTGATAAACGCAGGGAACAACTAATTCATAAAAAAATTTAAATTCAGTATAAAGTATTTCCTATTTTCTCGGTGTCATCTGTGTGCGGTGCTTTAAAGATGGTTAATATAATTTTTAACTGTTGAAATAAAACATTTAAAAAATAGTGTCACATAAATAAAATTAATTGTATTTATCATATCCAAACCATTCTTAACAATCCACGATTTCATATTATACCGATCTATCTAAAATTAGTTGTGTTTGTCCATCTTGTCATGTTGTCAGCGTCATTTTACGGAGAACCTTGAGGAGTCAATCAATTATTGTTCTATAAAATTAATTTACCTATAGTAAGAAGAGGCGTCGTTATTACAAAGCAATTTGAGTCAAAAGAAAATATTTTTTTGATTTAATACACTAATATTTAGGCTCTACATGTCTAAACATACGGATTGGACATTTATTTGCTATAAAATTAAACAATTATCTTATATTTTAGGCCGCACTTGTATTTGAAAATTATCACATTAAATAAATAGTTTGTTTTTGTATTATATTTAATTTCGTTTTATGGTTTCACTTCTACTGCGTGTGAACTGCACATATTATTTTTTTTTCATATAAAATACTATTAATGCTATTAAACATTACTAATATTCCATTAAACCACTTCTGGTAAGCTTAAAACGCTTGTGTTAGAAGTGGTTCACGACAGTAGTCGAATGGCTGACAGATGGAGCTGATTATAAAGGACTTCTGAATTTTCATCACACATTTGAATTCCTTGCCGGGTGTAGGCCTTCTTAAAATTACAGCCCATATACGTCCCAGCTGGTCACATGCTCTTTTACTTTCTGAGATAATTTTGTAGCAATAAGAACGTTGCCCTAATCCAGTGCATGACAATGAACTTCATATTTCTTTAAAATTTACACTAGAGGTAAACTAGAACAGGAGATGGGCAGCAGCATCATCCCAATAAAAAAATCAAAATAATAAAAAAACAACTTAATCCACCTGCCGAACGTAGCAAGAAAGGCAAAATCAACCCTCTTAGGCAATCTTTTAGAACATGCCTCCTAAGATCAACAGTGGACTTTATAGGCAGTAATAGATGAAAATTAAGGGAAGTAAAAAAGGCAAAATTATTAACAGTTTTATTAATATTTCTTCATTCTACAATTTGTTTTTAGTCTACTAAAATATATCTTAAATACACACGTCGATTATAATACATGGAACATAATATGTTTAATACACTGCTTTCTCATCGTTACAATATATATTTTAATTGCAGGAAAATCCATTTATATTTTTTATAATTATTGGTTAATCTAAAACTAAACTCGATAATAAAGAAAAGATATTTGTTGTTGCAACGTTAGTGAAATTAAACTACGATACTTGTATAATTAATAGAATCAGGCATTTTGCAGAACTTTAAAGAAATTGAATAGTGGTGTTGGTTGTGTCGGTAGTGTGGTGGGCTTAGTGGTGACTAACATCAAACTACTTAAGATATCTGGTTTTTATTTACTACGCAAATTTTAGCTAGTTACTTTTTAATATCTTTAAGTTATCAAAGTCCACTGCTAAACATAGGCTATCCCATGGATTGACTCATAAACGACAAAGTAAATAGAAATCGCATATTGAAAATTTAGCTAATCTTCTGTGGAATCTATGTGCAACTTGTGAACAAAATACGGCCAACTTTTGGAACAAAGTTCATTCTAGACATCATAAGGTCGAAGGCGCGAGGAAAGATGACATTTTTTAGAGGTTAATGGTGACAAACGTGCATACAGTCTACCTGACGGTAAATGGTTACTGTTACCTATAGACATAGTCTACATCTATCGTCGATTACAATTAAAATGCAGATGCGTTGTCACCCATGAGGACTAAGATGGAATGCCTAGTTTCCAGTAGAAAGGGTCACCGGTTCTCTACACTCACCATAAGAAACACAGCAGCGTTGAGCAGCTATTTTACGCTGATATTCTGTGAGAGCGTGGTCCTTCCCCAATCGAGCCGACCCATTCGTGCAAGAGCTATACTGCTAATGTAGTTGCAGCTATATTAGTAGTGTAGTATGGCTCTACCTCGTAAAAATGGATATTAATGATAGTAACCAATTTAACTTCGTATGGAAAATTATTGCAGAACGTGGGAGACAAAAGATGATGAGAGAATAAATTCACCATACACACCATCCGGATGCTTGGTGGTTCACCATGTGCGCTTTACTAGTTGTTTTCTTCGTCTTACGACATCTTTGTGGGAATGTTTACCACCGGTGATTTTTTCGTACAGATACGACTTTGGGACTTTCAAGGAAAGAGCTTAATTTTTTTAATAGGCTGGCTATGCACTTGCAATTTCTCTGGTGTGGCAGTTATTCACGGACGGTGGTTGTTGCTTACCATCGGGTGAGCCGCATGTTCGTTTGCTCCCTTTGCTATTAAAAAAAACCGGCAAAGTGCGAGTCAGACTCGCGCATGAAGGGTTCCGTGCCATCTCACACGTTTCTCTAGTAGGGGGCTCCCCTTTAATTTTTGATTATTTTTTTTGTACACTGAATGAAAACGTTAAGTTGGAGAGGTCTCCATCCCCATCATGCACTAAACCAAACTCCCGAAACCTTTCAGATATAGTAACAAAACCGTTTTCAGTGCCTGTGTGCCAGTGAATTCAATGCAGTGGAAGATACGAGTATGTATGACAAGCTCGTGGAACCTGTCATTGCGGTCAGTGCGATTTTCCTTCTGAGCCGTGTCTACGTGCTGTTTTCGAGAGTCATTTCGTCTCGCACGCAAACTCGAAGACTTCCAGCCTCTCGAACAATCCGGTTTCCGAAAAGTCTTTATTAGTAACATAGACTACATGCATACCCTTCGGTAAATTGTACAGAAGACCAAAGAGTACAATCTGCCACTTTCTCTTGCGTATGTGGGCTATGAGAAAGTCTTTGATTTCGTCGAAATATGGGCGCTGCTGCGGTCCCTTCAGCGGTAACAAGTTGACTGTCATTATATCGACTAAATATTTTAGAATTTTACTTTTTCTGGATACGTGTTCTTTCTTAATTGCTTATATGACTTTATTGAAAATAGCGTCAGATACTTCCTACTTTGGAGATTCCCCGAAATGTGGTACAACACCCGTCCAAGTAATCTTCGCATCTTGCCACCTGCAATAATGAAGGAAAATTCTTGAAGACCTTAAGTCCATCTTAAGCTAATTAAAATATAATATGTTTGTCTTTGTATTAATATTTTATAGCACCTTGCTAGTTCAGGGGCTATACGCTCGCTGTAAATATCACAGTACACCAGCAATTCAGGTTTTTTTCATTAGTAGAAATTTTAAAGGCCGATTTTATCAAGTACTCGGTGGTTAACAAATATATTGTGAGAAAGCCCGATGAATGATGATTTCCACCAACACACACTGCGGTATACAGGCTTCGTAACATTTATAGATACATATAAGTATATGAAGTGTAAAACCTTCCAGAAATTAACTTTACCCTAATTTTGTGACACATAGGCCCCAGGACAACGTGGTAAACATACTCGTACACAACTGTGAGCGTAGGGCTCCTAGCTCCTCCAGACATACATAGGTGTTGCGTGGATGTTACAAAGTAAAGAAAAATTATCCAAAAGTCCTCTTCGTATTGGAACCATACCTCCAAGTAGGCCTATTTAATGACCGTGTCTATTTGGACACGATCCAAAGAACTGTAGAAACATACTTATTACTTTTTTATTTCCGACTGTAGTCTGTGGACTTATGCCACATCATGTTGTTATTAATATATTTAGGAACAATAATAGTGACAACTTTTATAGCATTGGTAGTCACTTATTGTTACTTTAGTTCTAGGACTACCCTTTTCACCTTTTTTTCGTTATAAGGATAATATTTCCGCAACTAAGTATACGTTTTCAGAATTAGAAGAGGAATTGAAAAATTCAACTAAATCAAACTAACAAAACGAACAAAAAATATATAAATTGCAGCAAAACCTCAATATCATGCAAGAAAAGCTATATAGTATGAGTACTAATATAATCAAATGTTTATAGCGAAAAAATTGTTAGTAAAAAAATATACAGCATTTAAGACGTGTTTATTATTGGTCAAACTTAGAGTACACAAAAAAAAAAACCTTTTCTATCCTCATAAATGAAACAAAGCAAAAGATCAAAAAATCTTATGCTCCAAAAAAAAACACTAAATTTAATAAAATTGTTATAACGTGGTGGACATACCTACTAACCATCTTACTCAATTCTGTTTTATAAAAAAAAAGATTAGCCGCAGTGTAAAGGAAAATCCATCTAAAAAGGCTTAACCATAATATATAATTTAACTATATGTTCCCCGCGACTCCAATTTTTTGGCATGGAACCCTCAAATAAAAGAAACTTAAGTTATTCCTTATAACATTAACTATCTGCCAGTGAAAAATCCATCCAAATCGGTTCACAGGTTTTGTGTGATGCGTGTGCACGCTAAAATAGCCCGCAGATGACAGAATTTTTTTCAGACTTACTTATCATTTATCTTTATATTTTGCCCAATTTACACAATGTATTGCTGAATTACAGCTTATGTTTTATTATGATGTATGAGCTATATTATTGTAAAGTTTCATTAAAATCCATTCAAAACTTTTTGTGTGAATTAGTAACAAACATTCATACATCTTCACAAACTTTCACATTTATGTTGTTAGTAGGAAGTAGGATAGATATAAAATATATGGACCATTGACGGGAGCACTAGACATCTGATCTAATAACTTCTGGCACTACTACTGGTTCTGGTTTTGAAAATAAACTGTTCTTGCAGTAAATCATGAACTCTCAAAATATTACATTTTGAGAGTTCACGATTTATTAGCGTTTATTATATATTTTGTTATACTTAATTAGGTTATCTTATTATTTTTGTGTTTATTTGCATTTATACTAATAATATAATATTTAATGTTTTCTTGCAAAATCAAAGATTTATATTTGTGAAATTTTATTATTACGATGAAATTCCTACTTTAAAAGCAAAGCAATGATTTGAATTTTACCCTATATATGAGAAAGGTCATAAGTGTTTATTATAAATCATACGTGTTTATTATAAAGTACTGGATGTCATTTGACACTACGTAAAAAATTAACGTATAGTTTGTGTTTGCGCCAAACGCTAAAATTTAAAAACAACATAACGGAGCGCGTCGGCGCGCTCCTCCAATGTACCCAGCACCGGCTGGTACGCGGCTTGCGCGCACCTCCCCGCACGGACCGGACTCGTGGGAGATCGGGCAGTTTTTTGTCGCGAGCGGCGGCCGGGTCGTAGTATGGCAGTGAGTCTACTCAGGCCGCGTGATCACGTACATAATAACCTCTCATTGTGTCAATTTTGTTAGCAAATTTATGCAACGACGAGAAGTTCTGGAGTCTAGAAAATTAAACGCCGGATTGATTTATTGTTTGGAAGTTAATGTTTAATTGTACCGTTATGGTAAGTGCATTAGAAGGTCGCATTCGATTCTCGAAATAATTTGTTGCTGAGTGAACGGAAGTGAACTTTGACCCAACATTCATCAGTCGTGCCACGTGTTACGTTTTTGAATATAATTAGCGGGATTTAGTTGAGTTTTGAAGTTAGTTAAATGTACAATAAAGTTGATAGACTGACATAGTGAATTGAAGAAAAAAATTGTCCATTAGTGACGCCGCTGGAGAATACCACACCGTGGGGTGGTGCCGGAGTCAGGGTTGCTGCCGACTAAAAGGGTTAAGTCAGGCTCCACATTTTTACACACTAACAGACACCACCTACATGCACTACACCTATCGCCTGACCGAGCCTTGTGACCAGCCTCCACTTCTGAACCAGGTAAGTCGTATTAATTTTCTTAGCCTTATCCAGATCGTGTGGGTCAATTGTCCATAAGGCTATTTGGGCCCCGTCCTTAGTTGTCCGTCGAGTCTACAGCTATATGGGCCCCTGTATAGTCGACATTTGTCGGAACAGCTAGGGGCGTGTACAGTTTGGTAAATCAACTTAAAAGAGTACTTTAAAACTATAATCTGTCGATTTGTTATGCACATCGAATTTTCATGGCTGACTTGTAAGCGTTTTTCAGTTTTAGCGAGATGATTTTGAATGATACCAAATTGTGTGTTAATTACTTCCTCGTTTCTCTTTAGAAGATTATATTCACCTTCGATGATCGATACGTGATTTTTGTAGAAATTCAATAGATGATTTTTGTTTGACTGGATTATGTTGATATCCTTCTAGTAGTGATGTGCAAACCTCACATCCAGAGTACCGAAAAGGGAATTCGCTAGGTATCTAATTCCATGTTTAGATCGTAAGATATCGCTATTGTGTTGAATTTCGTCAAGTTCGTGTTGAAACTGGGATGAAATTATGAGATAAGCTGCTACTTTCTTGCATAATTTGTTCAAATGGTTGACATAGTTTTGTATGTTTTCAAAACTTCGCCAATATGGCGTCATGTTGTAGTATACAACCATTTTCCACTTATATTGAATAAATCAAACAACTTGTCAAATAAACGAGCCTTGAACTGCTAAGCTTCGTTATGTTGATCATTTGTTGCGTAGTAGGTTTTTTTTATAGTATAGGGTGACAAACGGGCACACAGTCCACCTGATGGTAAGTGGTTGTTTTGGCCCATAGACATCTAAATCTGTCCTCGTTTGCGAATCAAAATGCAGATGCGTTGTCACCCGTGAGGACTAAAATTGAATGGCTCTTTTCCAGTAAAAGGGTCTCCGGTTCTCTACACTCACCATACAAAACACAGCAGTGTTAAGATGCTATTTTACGCTGCTATTTTAAGGCTATTTTAAGGTCCAACAAACATCGAAAATAATAGTAGTAATATACAAAAATGATACTGAAGTGTTTTTTATCGTTTTTGTTTCTGTTTCCCTTGTGTATTTATTGCAGGCTTCGTAGTGTCATCGACAGAAGATAAAGTTGTATAAGATGAGGGCTCCAAAGGAAGGCGTGACAATTTTGTAATCGGTCGCTTCATATGACTTGTTTTAGTTTTCAGTGTGACGACTCGTACCCGGCCATATGCACCTGGGTAAGTTTCCAATACCAGTCCCAGGATCCAATTGGCAATGTTGTCCTCTCTGACTGGGTACTACGTACCCAACTTCTAAGTTTTTTGTAGGAAAGTCCATTTGCTTCGAGGTTGTAGAGTTTGGAGATAGTCAGTGGACCATTTGCTCCCGAAGTCTAGTGTTGTAGGTATTAAGTTGCCATCATGTAGTGAAGATCTTTTCATTACCCTTAGTGGATACTGGTGATTTCACATTAGAGGTCCATGAATGTAGGCCACTGTCTATAATCACCAGAGAAATAAGCAATCTCAATTGTAGGCACTTGCTGATACTGTTGAGATACTGAGTTGAGCTTACGATTCAAATCCCTTTTTGTGGTTTCGTATAAGATTTCTTGAACAGAATACTCTTCTTTGTATCCCACATTACCGCCAGAAGTCAGGTTATCGATTGAACAGTGGAACTCGTCGAACAGTTTCTAGCAAGACTGCAGCGAATTCAGTTTGTAATAAATTTCCCATTTTTCTATCAACTCTTTAGTGTCGATGTTTTTGATCATCCTGGAGAGCGCCCGGAAATTTGTGCGTTGTTGGCTAATAAACCCATCAGACCTTGATTGTGCTCCAGTTTCCACCTCGTAGTTTGTCAGCATGTCATGAATTGCTTTATACCGCTTCTTTGTGATGGTGTAGGTATCATTGATGAAATAGTTGTCATCCAGTTCACTGTCTGATTTTTTTAAAACAGACTGATTGATGTTGAACAACTCCCATTAAGCATTCAGAGCATCCAACCTCTTCTGTATGTATGTTCCCGACTTACGTGAATCAGGATCCTTTTTGAATTTAGTCTCAATTTTAAGGATAGCTTCAATGATTGTTCTCTGTTGTTGAAGTAATGTAGGTTCTGCGTGGTATTAGAACGATGTTGTAAACAGTTAGTTTCAGATACGTGTGACTGCATCTCTTACCGTAGTATGCATCTCAATCAAGCTGGTGACACCCGCTTGTGGGAGGCCAGTGACAAAAGTGCTTTCATTTTTTATACACTTCTCTGTTGAATAATTGTGGAAGTAATTATAGGTCTTAGGTTCACGTTGAAAGCTCGAAGGACCAGTATGGACCAGTGTATGTAGAGGGGGTGCCCCCACCCTCTCTTCATACACTGGTTGTGACTTGTGACCCCATACATATAATTGATGTGTAGGATGTCGATGCAGGTTGTATCTACGTCACGGGATGTGGTAATTAAAACTATGCCCGATTCCGTAGAGAGCGTTTATTGTATTGAAAAATACTTATGAATTAAATGTAATGTAGCATGTTTCCTAAACTATTGAAATACCATGTACTTGCTCGTACAGAGGCATTTCATCTTAGTCCGCAGGGATGACAACGCAGCATCTACGGGCCACAGCATCTACTTACCTTATCAGATGGAATGTGTGCCCGCTTGTTATTTTTATTATATAAAAAAAAATTAACAATAAGGACGTATATTTTTTGCTTGCGATTTTAAAAAAATTGTGGAAAGGTTGAACATAGATTTTAACGTGATGGTTGTGTTCACACACCGTTAAAATTTTGAATAAGTACAAAGCTTATCGTATTATCTTTGGCCTTTATATCGCTCTCTCTTTAATTTCGAGCCTTCAGAAATAATTGAGTGCTACACACATTTTTGGATCAGCGTATTGAATTCGGCGACTTAATTATATAGCCGACCCGAAGCAACAATTTGAAATTATTACAAAAAAATCGAACCCAACGTGTAAAAATTGACGATGTGACACGTGACTCTCAATGTACGAGTATTTTTTATGGCATTCCTCAGGGAAGTAATCTTGGACCTAGCTAATTTTTGGTCTATGTGAATGATTTATGTAACCAAAAACTAGTGAAAGGAAAATGATTTGCTTTTGCAGATGATACAGCCCTAGTATTCCATAGCTCATCTTGGGTTCAACTATAGTCCTTTCGCGTTAAGAAAATAGTGAGTCATCAGTGCAACTACAGGGTAAAGGTGTATTCACAGTGGAGTAAATTTTTTTTTTCAAACATTTAATTAAGTTTAATGGAAACAAATTTTCTTAAAATTACTTAAATCACTAATCAGTATTGCTAGATTCTCCAGTTACATTAATTATGAAAGAATTTTGTTCTGCAAGTTCCATGATGTCATCCAAATTCCACATATTATTTTCTTCGCGTATCACGTGGTCGCAGCACTTCTTCCAACAATTAGCGTCTATTAATGCTATTGCGTCATCTAATAATTTTTTTATGTCACTCATTTTGAACGTGGAGTTATTGGCACCAACATAATTTTTTATTTGGGCCCAAACCAATTCAGTTGGATTAAGTTTGCAATGGTATGGCGGTAAGCGAAGAATCGTAATGCCATTACTTTTGGCAGATCACGTTATGCACATAAATAAACGACGTAAAGATCTAATTTTCAGGATTCCTAAAGAGACATCTTAGTTTACAAAACGGCAACATGTCTTTTTAGGACCTTTAATTTACAATAAAGTTAATCAGTATGTGAACATCTACTACTAGCCACGCTACACTTGTGAAGAAACAGTTACGAATTTCCTTTTGTCAAAATCTTACTTTTAAATAGAATATAATATGCTAAAAACAATGCAATAAAGAATGGAATGTAAACAATGTTTTCATATTATGATAAAGCATTTGAAAAGGTCAAATATTGCAATAAATATATCATAGAGACTAGGTAATATACTACGAGTAAGCATGTTTTAAGTTGATGTACCACTGTGATTGGAAATAAACGATTATTATATGTAAGGCTTTTCGTTCCATTTGTCCAAATAGATTTTTTAGGATCATTATATGAACTCTTATTCTCATCAGCACGTCTGTCCGGTACTCTTTACTATTAATTTATTTATTGTGTTGATTCAATCTATTAATAAATCAAAAATATGTTAAACTACGAGTAATAAAACCTAAATTGCTACACCTACGTCAAATTCTCACTACTCCGTGGGTTGACTGGTAGAGAATGCCTTAAGGCATTAAGTCCGCCCTTTGTATTCCTTTGCTTTAAGGAATGCAATACATACGCCTTAACATACGTAGTATGTATGGTGAAACACATAAGTGAACTGTAAGCTGTGAAGTTAATTTCACACACATAGATTTTAAAAAATTATATGAAATATCATTAATCAAATGACATATTACCGCCATGATATGGTTTGTCGCACACAATTTTAAGTGTCAATTCTTATTTTGAACTTTTTGTTATGGCTTTATATTAAAAAATATAAAATTTAAAGAAGAAACAGTGCAATGTGCGATTGATTATATTTTACTTTACCCATTGCATGCAAAATCTCCCAATATATATGTAAGGAATGGAAACATTATATTTCATTCGTAAAATTACGTTTTTCTTGAACATTCCGAGAAAAACATCGTTTGACATATTGTGATAAACGCATTCTCTCTCTGAAAACACGTCAGCAAAAAATATTATGTAGTTTAACCCTCTATGAAAGTGACAAAACAAATCTTGCTACAGTTTCGCAAAAAATGTGTAATATTTTTCATATGGCTTTTTTATGGAGACAATTTTCTTTCGGCTGTTTGACCGCAAGGCAAAGAAAATTTCTATCGTTACGACTACCGGATCCCTCAATAAAACATTTTTATTAATTATTAAAAATTACTAAATATAATATTAAATTGTTTAAATTTAAAATGCTCTGACATTTTTTTATACTTAAGCCCAACCAAACTTTCTATAAACCTAAATAAGGTTTTACCATATTTAATTTTAACTTATGTATATGGATGCTTATGCACTATACACGGTATAAAAAATCATCAAACTAAAGCACCCAAAAAGTATAAAATTATAAATGAGTTAAAATTCCATACGTTAAAATCTTTTAAAATAAGTTTTATTTAATGCTTTATAAGACGTTTATTAATATTACTCCAAAAGCCTCATTTGCATTCTTACGCCGCCTCTACACGGCAGAATTTATATTTAATAATATCATACTTTGTGTGTATTAGTTTTTCCAGTGGAGTAGCACTGATGTCATCGTTTCTAATACCGCAGGCTTCATCTTCATGTGTCCTGGTATCGACGTTGAGAAGCACGTGGCACCCACCGCAAGTATAATAGTGGATGTCGAACCTGCATTTAGTTTAAACATTAAGATATTTATCTCATACACATGTCTTTTAAGTGATAATTTATTTATGTAAGACGCTTCGCGATACAAAATACTTTCCTCGTCAATGTGAATACATTAATTGTCTAATAGGGGAAAAATTTTGCCGAGTTATAGTCGTTATGCTTGGTAGGCGTGTTGGTAACCGCATTTTTTATTATTTTGGGCTGTTATCATGCTGCTACCAATCTTCTGTTTCATTTCACGCAGTCACCTCTTACGATACCCACGGGATGATATGGGGTATTGGAGTTCTCTCATAAAGCGACTTCACGGTGACTACCACTTGTTCATAAGCCCTTATTATACCACTCCTGTTGTAGGGAGGATATAAATAATATTCAAGAGTGTCAGGCGATCTCAGTACAAGATCTCTCACTTGATGCTGGCCCCGTCACTAGTTTTAACGCTATCTATCGGAAGCCATGAGGTCTTAACGATACATCCCATTGTCGCCTTTTGCGACAGCCATGGCACGGGGCATTACAGCCTTTCATAAGTCCACTGCTGAACATAGGCCTCCCCCAAGGAATGCCACAAAGTACCATCTATACAAATAACAAATCTGTAGAAAAAAATGTGTGTTCACGATTCACGTAAAAACTACTGGACAGATTTCCATGAAATTTTGTATTTTTTATTAGCTTATTGGGTTGGTGTTTGAATGTTTGTTTGTGTGTGTGTGTGTGTGTGTGTGTGTGTGTGTGTGTGTGTGTGTGAGAGTGAGTGAGTGAGTGAGTGTGTGTGTGTGTGTGTGTGTGTGTGTGTGTGTGTGTGTGTGTGTGTGTGTGTGTGTGTGTGTGTGTGAAAATAGTGAAAATAAACTCATCGCGCCACCAACCAGAAAGGGCAGAATAACGTCTGCCGGGTCAGCTAGTATTAAATATATTATTTAGTTCTTAACTAAGAATTAGAGTCTTTAGTTCGTAACTAAGAATGCCATAAGAAGATAAGAGATCGCTTAGGTAAACGTTATGTAGGACAGCCCCTGGCTAGGTTGAGTAACTATTTTCGCTAGGCGGCTGACAGCTACTGGATGTGAAAGAAAGAGGCCTAAGCCGAATTTAAGAAAGAGGCCTACGTGTGTCATTCAGTAGACAAATGATAATTATGATGACCTAAAAATTTTAACTATGGCTAAAATATCCCTAAAGGCGTAGGTATAGAAAACACACGTATTTGAATGAGACTAGTTTTTACTGATTTTATCGCGCTTAGTAACTTATTTTATATTCATGACATTTCAAGTACTTTACAGCACCCATGGTCACAGGGGAAGGCACATAAAATCAAGTGCAAAATATTCCATAAATACTACTATCATTGAAATGAGTAGTGTTCGCATAAACATATTAAATTATTAAAATACGCATAATACCTACCTTCTTTCAGCGTGATAGTTCCGTAGTTATTCACGATTTGTATTAAATAACACTCCATAATGTCCAGAACAACAAGTCACCTGGTTATAATAATTTAATTAATAAGTAGGTATCAAAATTAAATTGCTGTTAATGGCAGTGCACATAAAACTTAACAATTTTATCGCGCAAAAGACCTTTGCATTGTTGTCAACCCTTCGTTAAATGCTGATTTAATAAAGGGTTAACAACTTTCACAATAACAGGTTATAATGGCAGTTAGTACCGAAATAGTTTAGTGCCCAAAACCTTATTTAAAAAATATTGAATGTAAAAAATAAATTAAAACAATCTTATTAAATAGAAGCTAGGAACCAACTAGGAACATTGATATTAGTCAATTCATCATTGAAGGAAGATATGGGGTAGTGGATATTCTTAACCGCCACTACACGGCAAATTATAGTTATTAGCCACTACACGGCAAATTATAATTATAGTTATTAGTCATTTATATCAAATAAAAAGAAACGTTTGTAAAATTGTTATTCAACTAAGGACTTTTTGATTGTATTTGAAGAGCTCCTCATTAGTATAATTAACAAATGGAGCTCAAGGTAGTCCAGTGATGAGAACGAACGAACGGCATATCGATCAACCGCTCTCACTTCAAATTCCGTCAAGCCATTTAACCTTCAGCAGTCCTGCTGAAGGTTAAATACCTTCAGCAGGACATAAAAGAATTTGAAAACACGCATTAATACCCACAAATATATATTCACTTCTCCTCCTGGGAAGTTTAATAAAATACGTGATAGATTGGGCTAGAGGTAATTGGCCCTTATATGGTACATTAAAATTACTTTTAATGCTTAATCAAATTAGGAGTCACACCGAAATATCGTTCGTACCAGCGTCACTTGCACTTTCGCGCTCAGTATTCATTACCCGCCGTCATTAATGACATATCGAAACCGGAGAGTATTATCAATCTCCGGTATGAGCAGATGGGTGATATGATGATGCAGTTGTCTCGCTTTGATAGCGTACCGGACTAAATCACACTGTCGAAGTTTTCGCCCTGCTCTATGTACTTAGTACAAACTCCGTACTAATAGAGCGTTGGCCGCCGCGTTTTTTTTTTGCATGCGGGCTGATATAAGAATATTTTATTTATTATACTAAGATAAATTAAAAGTTTATATTACCCAAATTGGTAACGCTGGAGTTTTTAGTCTGGACCCTGGATGTTGTTTGATGACAATGTTTGAACTATTGTCGTCTCCTCCATACCACACCAGAAGGCCCACTGAACTGCGGGATAGCACGCCGTACTGGGGCATAGCCTGAAATTATCTTGATACTATATTGTTTAAAGAACTAGTAAGCTGAAGTGGATATGAGTCGGCAATATAACTCGTTGAAGCGGCAACCAATTGTAAAAAAATGTTTTTGAGTCCTGAATCTGTAAGCGGTGTGGAGGTAGGTTAATACCATTATAAAAAATGTTGATTCAGCAAATGTAACGGATATAGGGAAAGCAAAACCATGCTTAAGGTCTCACTTGGGGTGATCTAAGTTTGAGAGTGGAATTATGAAAGGCTATAATGATGATGTTAATAATATTATTGTTCAAATCTAAAATAATAAATATACAAGACACAGTAGTGCTTAAGTAGAATACTTTAAAGTGCTATTACAATAAGCTGTTGTTTTACGCGGACAGATGGACACAATAAATATTTAGGCAAAACTACAATAATGAAGCCGTAGTAGCTCCGTAGGTAATTTTTCGCCATAAATAACACAGTTAAAGGGTGGTCCGAGTTCGATTCCAGTTGTTAAAAATGAAATTGTAGATCTGCTAGACAATAAATGAAAACATCATAAGGAAACCTAAAATTATTTAAAAATATATATATCGAGGATATATTGAATGACTGAATTAGATTAGTGTGATAGACTCTTTCCTGCTCTAAAATCAATTAGAATTGAGAGGAAGACATTAAAAATATTTTTTTATTACTGTGATACTTCATTTCAATTTTAAACACTGGAACGATGTGTCAAAAATAATTTACATTATTTTAACCCGCACATTGATTAGCACCCGAGGCAAAAAAAAGTAACAATACCGTTTCACACACCTAAGACAGCCTTTTTGTTAAAAAGTTTCTATGCATTGGGACCAAAACTATATAATTATTTACCTGACATATTAAAAGAGATAGAATTAAAAAATAACATTAAATTACATATTAGAATCATTGATTATTTTAGCTACAAAATTACATTCTAAATAAATTTTTATTTCAAATATTTTCTGAGTTATGTTGTAATCAAATAGTATATTCACATCACTACGTTTCAGTCATAAGTTAAAATGTATTTTGACATATTAATTCCATTGTACTTATGACATTATTATTTTATTATCCGTGTTTGTTGATTTCATTTAATGAATATTTATGTAATGTTTTAAATTTGATGATTTTAGTAATATTGTAAGCCTTAATTTAGACAGATTGTGGTAATACTTATTTACTTATACTTACTTTACTATTATAATGTTAAATCTCTCAAACCTTCAACTAGCACAATAAATAACTTATTTTATTCTATTCTCTTTTGACGACTTTCTATCCGCTTTTTACTGACTAGTGGAGATTCCGCAGGAAATTCGCTATTTCAATTTTCTGTAATAAGCTGCATATTTTTAACTCAATTCGGTAAGACACCAAGTGTGAATAGATTTTTTTTGGCTAAGACAGTTTGCTTCATATACAGCTAGTATCAGGTGGTTCAGAAAAAAAAAAGAACTTAATATCATAAAAATGAGTCGCATTTTATGTCATCACTATTTTGTGCGAAATTCGTGCTGCTAATTAAGATAGAATTTATCATGAATTTACATTGAAAAACTTACGAATAAATAATATGACTTACATAATGATCCTCATCGCCAACGTACATTACGCCATTGTGAAGGTACGGTGTAGCCCTTCCCGTCAGTAAAAGCATGGTAACATTAATCGATCCCTCCACTTGCGTTGAAACCAAGTAATTCAGCTTACCGTCAAGATCCTTCAGGATACTGATAAACAAAATGTGAATTTTATAATTAGTTTATTATTCTTAGGCATTTAAATGGTTTATTAATATGGTTTAGCTGTAAAAATATATAAATGGAAGCGATAAATAAACATAAATATACATATACTAATATAGTGAAATAAAAACATAAACAATACGTAAATAAATAAAAAGCTAACCAGATATAAGCACTCAGCAGGGGAGACCAAACGGCCGAGGGTTAGGAGGAAAGGGAAAGAAACCGACGAACGATGCGGGTGATATCGTGTAGCACCGCCTTCTGCATTTGAGCTTGGAGCGATCCGTCACGGAGTCCCAGTCATCTCAGAAGACCCGAGAGGCTGACTGGGATTAGCCCGTTCGCAGAAACGACTACAGGTATAATTTCGGTCAGCAGCAGCAACCCCACATGTCGGTCACCTCGTGAGCCAGATCTCAGGTATTTTGTTCGCTTATCTGTTTCGGCTTCCACGAGGTTCTAGTCATACGAAATGGTTATGTTGACCAAAAATATCCTTGAGTATGCCCGGTCCATCAGATCAATATCAGGCTTATTCGCAAGAATGGGCCTGTCTGTGATCATGACCCGGTCCCTGTAGAGCCTGGCGTGGTCATTTTCGAGCACGGCTTTTCCGGCATGTACTTATAATAAGGCAGTTTCCGATCCAAGAGACTGTATTTCAGAGCCAGCTTCTGGTGTAGAATCCTGGCTACTAGGTTGTGCCTATGCAAGCACTCAGAGTTATAAAGCGCCGAACAACCAGAGATGACATTCCAAAGTGATTCACTGGGATGGCGACAAGCTCGACAAATGTCGACGGTGCCATCCCTTAGGATGTATCTACGATAGTTGTTGGTCTTAATAACCTGATCCTGTATGGCACAGACAAAACCCTCGGTTTCCCCAAAGAGGTTACCAAAACGTAGCCAGTGGAGGAAGGCAACTGTGTCTCCGAAAGGCTCATGTAAAACCTTTATTAATACTATTATTATTATTTATGCTGGCGTGGCTATGTTAGAATATCCACTTCCCCATAACATCCCGTGGGTATAACAGAGGGAAACAAACCAGCATGTAGGCAAGCAATTTATTCCTAATAATAACTGAAACAATAATTGTTTCACTTATTGTCAGGAATATATTGTTTGCATTTGCTATAGTTGCAGCCCTTGAAAGTTATTGTCAAGGGCTGCAATTGGAGGAATGTCCCCCTGTGGGACAATTCATGGTTGAGATCTATATTTTATAATCTCAGTGGACTTTTGATAGGTTTTAACTATAATGTAAGTAAGGCGGCTCAATCATAGATAAACCACGCTCACATAGAACATCAGCTAAAAATAGCAGCAATATGCTGCTATACATAGTATGTTACGAAAGCTGAACGCATCCCCTCTTAATAGTTAGGATAGACAAGGCATCTGCATTGAGATCCTTAACCGAGGATAAATAGCAGTAGAATGTGTCTATGAGTCATAGACACCACTTACTGATCAGGTGGATTGAGTGCCAGTTTGTCACTCTTAATCTCAATCTTTTCAAGTAGTAAATTCTTTTGTCTATTTGATAGGGATAACATTACTTACGAAACAATGTCAAAGTTTTCTTTTTCATATATCAAGATTTGAACTTGCTGGAACTTTAAACTGCGTAAATAATATTATACCAGCGAGTATCGTCAGCCTTCTAAACTTTGATTTTTTTTTTCTTTAGAGCATCTGTAGTCTACTAATTCTAAAGTTCCTCTAATGAAAGTCTCCGAAATACATTTATCATTTAAAATAACCAAAATCAAAAGTAAATTAAATATAATTCAGATGACTTTATAAATGAATGACACAAGAAATGTTTCGCTCGTTTAGTTTAATTTAGTGAACAAGACTTCTCTGTAATCACCAGCTACATAATAAAAAAGATAATGACTGTCATCATAGTCATTTTCTTTTATCTTTAAGGGATAAGTTAAGCGAATTCTTCACCTATTCAGCATAATATATGATAGGATTCTCCTATCTAATCACCTTCCGTGCAACAATAATATCAAAAAATAACAAAGGCCCCAATTGATCCCAATCGATCCGAATAAACGATCTAAAATTTGATATTGATAACGTGGTCATGTTTCCCTCTAGTTAATTTATAATACATAATGATGAAAAAAGGACTTTACCAATTTCTTTACAAAAACTAAAGAGGTTTTAAATGTAGATATAAAATATAAAATAGGTTTTTATAACTCACTTATCGCAGCCCCTTGACAACACGGCAGCATACAACAGCAATAAGGCGCCAGCTCCTTCTTCTGATTGGAACTGTAGAATTTTAATTGAAACTTTTTAGCTCATTTTTATTTCCTAAGTTTACGAACTATAAGTTTACGTTACGCGTAATCAAAGGATCTTGGTGAATTTTATGTAACGTTTCTGAGATAATCTTCAGATAAAGACTAAACCCTAGTAGCTTTAATTCGATATAGACGACGCCGTGGTGCTGAGGCTTAGCAATTGAGGGCCGCGGGTTCGAATCCCGCACGGAACAAGTATATGTATGGCCTACAAATAATTATTCCGGGTCTGGATGTTTTTCTTTGTGCAATTTATGTTTGTGATTTACCCCCAAGATACAGGAAAAAATACTAGTGTGGAGGTTACGTTTAAATAATTTAAAATTAAAAATTTTGTACAGCCGACTTCAATATAAGTTATTTAAGAATAACTTAAAAACTATTGGTCTGACCTTGATCAAATTCATATGGGACCACACGAGAAGTACCAGCTTTCAAATAAAAAAAGAATCATCGAAATCGGTTCACCCAGAAAAAAGTTCTGAGGTAACACACATAAAAAAAAAAACGAAAAAAAGAAAAAACATACAGTCGAATTGAGTACCGGCTCCTTTTTGGAAGTCGGCAGAAAAATAGACTTGTTACACTTTTTCTTTTGCTACAATCGGCGTTTATTACATCTTAGTCATTCATATTTCGATTTTTTCATAATCGAGGATAGGTGTTGTGTATTATAAAAAAATATAACAAAATTTTAAAGCACAAAGATTTTGATGGTATTGTAATGTTATCATAATACCGTCAAAATTGTTGTGGTCTATTACCTAACACTTCCCAAAAATACAATTGAATTTATAATGATTGAACATTTATCTATATATACTTACCACGTACATATAACGCTTAATAAAAATCTGCAAATCTTCTAGACTGTTGAATTCAAATAAATGCAGCTTGAAACAGAAAATACTATAATAAATATTTAAAGTAAATAAAAAGATTATAAAAAATTATTCATTAAAATTTGTAGATGCACTTTATTTAGTCCACCTGATGGTAAGTGGATTTAACAGCCCAAGGACACATGCAACCAACTTCAAATAAAGAAGCTTAGCTCTGTTATCACCTTCCGAGGGCTAAGAGGAAATGCTACACATCCTATCATTATACTGGCTCTCTATTAGACTATAACACTGTAAGTGCAGGCTATGCTTCTAGGCTGACGACAGAAATAGATAAGAGGGTCGTCCCTAACCCAAACGGACTCGAAGGCAGAAAAAGAGTCCTACCATCTAGTAAAATAAAGTATAGTATTTTTACATAATATTAATATTCTATTAAAGTAGAAAAAATAAAAGATATTGATATTAATATTATCAAATATGTAAACTACGAGAATGATATACGTTTATTTGATGCAAGTTGTAAGCTGAAAATTAAAATCGTCAATCTTTACCTTCTCCGTTATGCCATCCTGATAATATTGGGCGCTATGCTGGACGTATGTGATATCAGTGGGTAGAGCTACTACAACCTTGGTGTCCGATGTATTTTGAGTGTTGAATCCTCCACCGCAACGCCAAATCACTTCACTACAAGCTCGCCAAAGTGCTTCTTCCTGTCGCTCTTCAGAGGGACGGAGATAACTGTAAATGTAACAATATACTTTTGAAAATAAAGTTGCTTCTCTTTCGAGACTTTTCGCATCTATAGGAAAAATTGATGAGGATGATGATAAGGAAAGGCTTTGGAATAGCGTAGGCCATTTTCAAACTGTAATATGTGGCACGGGAATTACATACATACGAGTATCACTGGAGACACGCTACCATTTGAAAAAAAAAATATATTTTCATAGCATTGCGGAAATAGTTTGTTTTTATTTTCAAAAAGGAATAAAAATACAATTCCAGCTTATTAAGTGGATTGCATGACACACTTTCTTAAAAGAAATAAGTATTTTATAAATTGAATAGAGGAACCTTGTGTAGCTGTGTAAGAACATTGACTACTCCATATTATCCCCTGGGTATTTTTAAAGCTGACAATGAGAAACTGAAACAGAAGATGATCAGCAGCATCTTTGTAATAATTACTCAAAATAATAAAATTCTGAGGTTGCGATCACGCATGCCACACGTGCAACTATGGCATAATGTTGCACGTGTGGCAAACGTGAGGCAATTTTATGAGGTAAACTTTTGATCAGCAGCGGAATTTAATAGGCTTTAGAGAGTAGGATGGATAATGGAATAAAGGAAATAACTCTGAAGTAACATACGTGTTAAATATGAAAGTGTTTTAACACACTTTTAGTCTAATTGCACTATAAGATACTAAAATGTATCTTTTACACGGCTTAGTACGCTCGCCGTGTAAAAGATACATTTAAAGATACGCTCGCCGTATAGTGGCGGCGGAAGATAATCAAATAAGTACCCCTTATCATCGTGAGTGTTGAAGAGGCGATAGTGGGTAATAAACAGGAGATGAGATAGCAACTTCATGTTAGCAACCAAAAATATTTAAAAAAAAAACTCTGGTTCCGCCTGCCAGCAACTTCATGATAACTACCAAAAATATAAGAAAAAAAACTCTGGGTCCGCCTGCCAAACATGACAGCTTTATTAATCCTATGATCCCATCTATGGAGCATGAGAATCTATTCCGTAATGAATTAATAAAAACAGAAGAAGAAGAAATTGTTCTTTGCAGTTTAAAATGCTGATATATCACGTATAACATTCAGGGATCATTATGAGGAAATCTGCATATCTAAGGAATACTTTTATTTCCGAAGACATGTGAAGTCTTACAACACGCAATGGAGCGGTGTGGCGTAATGATTAATCTATAACCGTCTCAGTAATTAATTGGACGCAAAGAGATTTAAATATATACAAACTACTTAAATGTCTTTGATTGGACTTTTCTGGTTGACTGAGTAGGATTTTAAATGGTGTAACTTTTACGTGAGAAGTTATATTAACTTGGAATATTAAAAACGTTGTTCCTAAAACTAATTTTGCCAAACGATAGTTTAATCTTCTTAAAAAAATCATACAATTTTTTTATAGAATACGGCACTAAATAACACACAGTTCATTCGATTAAGAATCGAAATGCAGATACTTTGTCACCCCTGAGGACTCACCGTACGAATAACAACAGCTATAAACAGCTTTTTTGCGCTGGTATTCTGTGAGAGCGTGGTTCTTCCCCCGGTCAAGCCAACCCATTCATGCTACAACCATAATATAGCAGCAGAGTAGCACTTCAAAATGTACCTTACGGGCACATGATTTTATAAGTGGATTTTTTAATGTATCCATTATATATTAAGCAACAGTAGCCTTATGCTTAAGATGCAAACTCGAAAACACGTGGATCTACCATCCATGACTACTGTCACGAACATTCTTAATATTATTATTACAAACAAATTTGTTATAGATAACTGAAGTGTAAGCAATAATATATCGTTACTATTATTTTTTTTAAGTTATTAGACTTAAATGTAAAACGGCAAGATGAATACATTACCTTTCAGGAGGTTCCTTTGACTTATTATCCTTTGTCAAAGGCCGCGAGTCGAAAAGAAGCCATTTAATAATGTGGGCCTGTAGTCCAGACAGTAAGGATCTAGCGCCATTACGAGGTGCGGTCAGGCCATAAGACAGAGGCTGGTCTGGGGGTCTCATAATTAGCGGTGACTTTATCCATTCACCACGAGGTGGACAGGTAGAAGTTCCGAATGTTGTAACCCGTAGTTCCTAAACACAAATAAATTAATTATTTTGACTATTCCCTTGGCTTAGTGAGTGTAAGTGTAACTGATGATAATGTGTTATCGGGTTTAAATTCCGGGTCGGGCCAAAAACATGTTACTGGTTTTTTTTTTGCCAAGAAGAGTTAGAGGTTGTCGGTGTTTCATCCAGGTACCTCGGCAAATACGTAGAGCCGTTGATCCTGCGGCTTATCTCTCGCTGGTCTTGTCGGAATGCCGTCTCATGACATAGAGTGTGACGGTATAGAGAGTAAAAATAATTTAAAATTGAATTTTTTTGCAACCGACTTCAATATAAATTATTAAGAATAACTCAAAAACTATTGGTCAGACCTGAATCAAATTTATATGAGACCACTTGTGAAGTAACCTACAACCAGTAAAAAGTTATGAGGTAACACACATAAAAAACGTACAGTCGAATTGAGTACCGGCTTTTTTTGAAGTCGGTAGATAAATACGAATAAATGAGCGTAGAACTGTAATTTCTCACTCCTTCTATCAGTATAAAGTATCACGCAGGCGACTAAGAACATTTAGTCAGTAATTCCACGAGTCTCACTGTCGTGATGGTGCCTGTTGGGATTATACCTTTGGATAATTTCTTTACCTTTGGTAAATGTAAAGAAAGTTATTTTGTGGAGACACTGTCCTGTACGAGTAGCACATTGTGATAGGCAGGAAGAATTTCTGTTGGTTTGCATACTTCATCTAGTTTTATATTATCTTGTACTTACTTTTAACTGCTCACTATTTTATATTTTTATATTCGATGTGTATAACATCCAACATAAAGTTGTAAAAGAGTTATTTTCGTGGTCCGGCGTAGAAACACGCTCTTACAAAATAGCAGCGTAAAGTAGCAGCTTAATGCTACTGTGTTTCGTATGATGAGTGAAGAGAAACGGAGACCCTTTTTACTGAAACGAGGCATTTCGTCTTAGTCTTCAGGAGTCACAACTTTTTTTTATAGGAGGGGGGGCAAACGAGCATGCGGCTCACCTGATAGTAAGTGACTACCGCCGCCTATGAACAACTGCAACACCAGAGAGGGAATTGCAAATGCGTTGCCGGCCTATTAAAAAGGAGTATGCTCTTTGCTTGAAGGTCCCTAAGTCGTATCGGTCCGGAAAAGTCGCTGATGGTAATCGATTCCACAAGGAAGTCGTGCGAGGAAGAAAACATCTTCTAAATCACACAGTGGTGGACCGCCAATCATCCAGATGGTGTGGATGGTATCGGGAGTTCTGCCACGATGTGTGTTCGTGAAATTTGGCGGCTGGGATTAATCCGAACAATTCCTCAGAGCACTCCCCATGGTAGATGCGAAAGAAAATGCAGAGGGATGCAACATCTCTTCGCAGTGCCAATGAATCGAGCCGATCGGAAAGGGCTCGGTCGTCGACGATTCGAGCCGCTCTGCATTAGATGCGGTCAAGTGGAAGGAGCTGGCACTGGGGAGCCTCTGCCCAGAGATGGGAACAGTATTCCATGTGAGGCCGAACCTGTGCCTTGTAAAGTTGCAGGCGGTGTGCCGGCATGAAATACTGTCCCGCTCTGCTGAGCACGCTAAGCTTTTTAGAGGCCAATTTGGCCTTCTCTTCCAAGTGACCACGAAACTGCACGTAACTCGATATGTCGACTCTGAGGATACCGATACTGGCTGAGGCAAGAAGGGGAGTGCCTTGAAACTGAGGAGATACGACAAAGGGGTTCTTTTTAGCGGTAAACGCGCAAAATTGTGTCTTCTCAGGATTAAACTGGACTAGATTTAGTCGCCCCCAGTCCGAGACTTTGTTCAGCAAAGACTCGACTTCAGACACAAGTTTGTTCCGGTACTCGGCGACGTTTTCCCGAGAAATATTGTCACGGCCGGTGTATAGAGCATCACCAGTGCTGTCATCCGCATAGCAATGAATGTTACCAGTTATCAACATATCAGTGATATGCAGAAGAAACAGCGTTGGTGATAGCACACAGCCTTGTGGAACACCAGCGTTAATAGGCTTGTAGTCAGAGCATGCACCGTCTACAACGACCTTGATGCTCCGATCTGCAAGGAAGCTGGTGATCCAATTGCACAATTTCTCTGGAAGCCCATAGGAAGGGAGCTTCGAAAGAAGCGTTTTGTGCCAAACCCGATCGAAGGCCTTCGCAATGTCCAGACTAACGGCCAACGCCTACCCTTGGACTCTAACTGCCTCCGCCCATCTATGGGTAAGGTAGACCAGAAGATCACCAGCTGATCGACCCCGACGAAAACCGTATTGGCGGTCACTAATCAGCTGGTGATCCTCAAGGTACCGGATGAGCTGGCAGTTAATAATGGATTCCATTATTTTGGAGAACAAGGAGGTGATCGCGATAGGCCTATAGTTGGATGGGTCTGAGCGGTCGCCTTTTTTAGGGATCGGGTGGACAAAAGCTGTCTTCCTTGAATTCGGGACCACGCCTTGGGAGTAAGAGTATCGGGAAAGACGCGTTAGGACCGGTGCCAACTCCGGAGCACACGTCCTCAGCACAATTGGGGGATTCCGTCAGGCCCACTCGACTTCTGGATGTCCAGGGAGAGCAGTGCTTTGCGAACCGAGCGCTGTGAAAACAGCACATCCGGCATGGAGCACTCATACCGCGTGGTGGTCGGCGGTGTTTTCCCCCCGTCATCAAGAGGCGAGTTGGACGCAAAAAGGGAGCCGAAAAGGTCGGCTTTGTCTTTTGCGTCTTGAGCCAGTGAGTCATCCTCCCTGTGCAGAGATGGTAGTGATGGCTTACAGAAATTCCCTTGGACAGCCTTGGCGAGAGACCAGAATGCACGGGTTCCCGAAGGAAGGCGAACTAGTTTCTCGCCAATTCTGCCTATGTGCTCTGACTTTGCCTTGGCAATAACTCTTTTGATTCTTAATTGGATGGAGATAGCATCTGAGATAGATGGCCCATAGCATCCACTTACCATCAGGTGGACTATGTTTCGTGTCGTTTGTCAACCTAATTTAATAAAAAATATTTTATTTAAACAATTTTGAGAGTGATTCTAACATCAGGAATGGGATGATTTCTTATATTTTATTAAAGAGTTCAGATAACTTGTGTATCATCAATCTGTCTGCCAAATTACTACACACACATTATCCCTTTTTAAAATTCCATGTGTTGTGTTTATAGCCGGGTTTAAAATTTTATTTTTAAACAACGCTAAAAGTTTCTAGACAGCTGAATTTTGACGTATTTATATTAAAATAAAATAAAAAATCTTGTTTGGTATTGCAATGTTCAGCACTTACGATAGCAAGTTCCTCTGTTATGGGCTTTCCGCCTGTCACAGCCGGCTTAGAAGTGGTGAGAAATTTATTTCTGGCGTAGAGTACCCGCTCTGCAAATAAGAAAATATTTATTGCTTATGTTCGACTGAAATAAATATAAATCTTAACTTTCTTGAGATTGCAACAGTTCCTTTGTTTCAAATAATAATAAAAATGAAAAGTATTTTGATACGAAATCATCAATATTTAGTAGTACCTTTATTCTTCGGAGTAGGTCTGCAAGTAGTATCAAAAATCAAACTCACTGGTATGTCCCAGTTCGAAGAATATATATATATATATATATATATATATATATGGCGAGTGTAGAGAACCGGAAACCCTTTTTACTGGAAAACAGGCATTCTAACTTGGTCCTCACGGGTGACAACGCATCTGCATTTTGATTCGCAAACGAGGATAGATGTAGATGCCAAGAGGTGAACTGTGTGCTCGTTTGTCACCCTATCCTATAAAAAAGAGTAAGAAAACTGGTGTAAACACATATAGGATTTTTTATTTTGTAGTTTTTTTTTTAGGGCTGATCAAAATGCACACGATCAACTGCTACATGTTACGTTGAATGCTTTTTAAAAAGGAGTGGTATTTTCTTGAAGTTGCCTAAGTCGTATCGGTCTCGAAAAATACGTTACTTATTCGTGCACTATCCCGTTTTGTCCCGTAGGTGTTGAAAGAAGCGACAGAGGGTCACTGAAACAGAAGATGTTCAGCAGTATCTTTCTGATGACAATTCAAATATTTAAAAAAAAAACTGCGTTGTCTCACATGGCAAGCGAGGCAGCTTTAATGAAATTCCCCCTATGAGGCAATTAATGTGTTGGCCCAATATTCCACAGTAGAATTTTGTAGGATGCATGGAAATTAATTTAAATCCTAAAATTAAATTACGAGGTATTTCTATATTATGTAAAATCAATTAAAAGGGAAAATATGTAAATTGCTATTATAAGACAAATTTCAAAAAAAAAAAAAACTCAAACTTTACAATTCTTCTTGCAAAGTTTCAAGTGTATTTTAAAAAATTAAAATAGCTTAATTAATATTAATATCCAATAAAACTCAAACCATAAAATTCTTCCTGCGAAGTCCCAAGAGTGTTTTTCCTTAACATAATTTGCTTCTATAATATAAAATATTTTTGATACAGGTTTTTTTTAATGTCCGTGGCTTAAAAATTATACTTATTATTCGCAACTTAAATTTAATCGGTCAATATGATATTTTTTAACACAAATAGTAATAATATTATATAAAATATACAAAACAATAATAAAAATTAGATGCAGTCGCAACGAGAGTTGTAGGGCTACTATTATTGTTCGACATTCGAAGGTGCCCTATTGAAATAAATAGGTAAATTGATTCTGAGTATATAAATCGAATCAGTTCCATCCAGTACCAAGAAAACAATCAGAGTATGACGTTTCCTTGCTAGGCTATAGTGTGCTATGCTTGGAATAATTGCGTTCGTGTCGCACGCTTCTAGTGTCAGGTGTCTATCGCTTATGTGATGAAAACTTTATGTTGTAGGGAATGAGGGTAAAAATAAAAGGAAATACGAATAAATAAAGGTAGAATGGTAATCTCCCACTTGTTTTAGCAGTATAAAGTATCATGCAACTGACTAAGACAGAGCAGTCAGTAATTCTACGAGTCCCATATCGTATTATGTCCGTTGGTCTAAAACATTAACTCTACACTAAGATTATTTCTGCCTAAGTAAGACAAGTGATGTGGTTCTGTTCGTGAAGTAGTTCTTCTAGTGTTAGCAAGGAAGATCGAGTAGCTGAGAGGCTGCCCTGTTTGTTACGTTTGTTACCAGTTTGTTACGGCCTACAGCTATCTAAATAAGAGTAGAATCATCCGGGCCCAAAGCGGAAGACCTTACAAGCAGGTGCAGGTCAGGCCTCCTAAGGCCAAAGTGGAAAATCTCTAATAACAATAAACAATAAGGGGGGACGTTCGATCTTGCTGCTATTCAACAGGGAGAATATTAAACCGAACTTACTTACCTATATCCAAGGCGACTAGTCCCTCAGGGTTCGGTCAGATCGCATGAGGTTGTATGGGGCATGGGAAGTAAGAGTCAGTGATGTGTATCTGTGTGTGACTGAGTGTGGTAGACCTTATGAGACCGTTGCCGTTGGCAGCAGCTCGGACTTCAGCACCGCTCCATTGAGATGAGTAGTGTTGCTGATGCTTTGAATATTTTGGTGTTATCATGTAATGATTGTGACCGGTTCATATAACGTTTGGTCAAACCATATTTGCTCTATATTGAATGTGTGGTGCCGTACGCTATCTTATTCCGGGTTGGCTATAAATATCCGGTACTTGATTTTAATTATGTTTTCCGTTTAGCAGTTTTGTCTGGGCTAAGCATGAACCTTTTACAATTTTTTTTAACGTCGGAAATGCGTTTTTAATTAATTAATCGATAAAAATAAATTTCACTAAAAAGTCTATTCTAATAAGATATTAAAAACCGATGTAAATAGTGTGAAACGGGACGGTGTTGACGGCCATGATTTGGGCAACTGTAAATGTCAAATATAATATATTATTTATGATGTCAAATGTCAATTGTCATTCCGTTTCTCTAGTGGTCACGCGAATGTTCTCTTTTGTGCTTAGTGTTGTGTTTTCCCTGTTTTTTCGACGACTTCTACTCTGTTTTTGGCCTTTTTTGATTGCCCTTATATTTGTTTCCACTATCATAGCAGAGTTTAGGGAAACCTGACTTTATAGATAAGATAGGTCGAATCTGTACCAATACTGCATCAGAACACCCCGAATCCACGTAGTCTTGTCTGCCCTACCCCTAGAGTGTTTTGTAAAGCCGTAGGCGCGGAGGGAGAGCAGCCCCGCCGGCTGTAGCAAATCGCAGGCCCCTGAGTGAGCCGTAGCGGCTGAGGCTGGTTGCCGATGGCGACCAATAAGCCGAAGTTGGCGAGGTAAGCATGGATGCCTGTGATTTGCTACGCAAGAGCGAAGGGGCAGCACTTCCTGCAGCGAAACCGCTGCAGAAGTAAATTTGTGTCAATATTCCTGTGGAAAAAGCGAGGTTATGATTTTACAAAAAAAATATTACTCATTAACTATACATTTCCGCATGGGGGAAAGGGTAGGGCGGGCTACCTCTGAACCCTCTCCCTCCCACCCCCGTAGGCGAGTACCGGATGTCTATAGTTTAACCCATATTCCTGATAATGATTAATTGCGTAAGCAAGAGAGCAAGTTAAACATCTGCTCTCTCACTTTTATTATTATTAACAATTAACCTTCAGAATAACTTCTAATACGAGTAACATTCTTTTATTTAAAAAGTATTGGGAATAATTTCTAACATCAGAAATGGAATAGTTTCTTACAATATCATATTTAAAAAATCTTATTTCTTTATAGAAAAATGGTAACAAAGTAGCAGATAGTCTAAGAAGTGCTGGTACGTGGATGCTATTGGTATGATTATTACGCATAAGATGTCTCGATTTTTTTTTTATAGGATGAGGGTGACAAAGGAAAACACAGTCCACCTGATGTTAAGTGGTTGCTGTGGCCCATATACATCTATATTTATCCTCGATTATGAATCAAAATGTAGATGCGTTGTCACCCGTGAGGACTAAGATGGAATGCCTCGTATCCAGTGAAAAGGGTCTCCGGTTCTCTGTACTCACCCTGCGAAACACAGTAGCGTTAAGTTGCTATTTAACGCTGGTATTCTTTGAGAGCGTGGTCCTTCCCTGGTCGAGTTAACCCATTCGTGCTACAATTATACCAGTAATATAGCTGCAACGTGGCTCTACCATGTATAGCGAAACATTAAATTTTATATTTATTAAAAAACACAGCACATAGCAGCGATGACAACCATATAATTATTTTTATATTTACGCGAATACTACACATTTTTAAATAAAACTAATTTTACGGATTTTATCGCGTATATTAACTTATTTTTTTCAGTCCCCCGTGACCACGGGTGCTTGAAAGCACCCGAAACGTCGGGAATATAAAAATAAGTTAATATACGCGATAAAATCTGTAAAATTAGTTTTATTTAAAAAAAACTATATAATTACTAACGAACGAACAAGATAATAACTAGATACGTTGTAATGATTTCTAATATTTACACGAATACTACACATTTCAATAAAACTATTTTACGGATTTTTTCGCGTATGTTATTTTATTTCATACTTGTTAGACGTCGTCGAATACCTTAATCCCCCCTGTGACCATGGGTGCTTTAAAGTACTCAAAACTATGCGGTACAGAGAAACACGGTGGGGGAAAATATGCTTGCTTGAGGTATAAAAATATTGAGAACTTTGAATTCCGCCATACACCCTAGATCAGGGCGGTGGTTCCATTACCATCTCAAAAATAAAAAGAGACCTGAGCCAAGCATTGAAATGTATATAGATTGTATTTTTGTGGTTTTGTCTTTTTATTTAAAAAAAATGTCTGGAAACAGGTTTTTGTTTTATTAAATTGTCACTATATATCTTGTAAAACGCAGACGTCAAATCGCCAGACAAATTAAATTATTTGTATAACTCTATAATTGTAGGTTTATAAGTTTGTAATAGAATAAGGATTTGTAAGAATGTGGTCTTCTGCAACAAGTATTATAAGAATATTAAATACTTAAAAGAGGTCTCAACTATAACTCTGTACCAATTTACGTCTTTGTTACCGAATAAAAATGATTAATATAATAAATATCATAATAATAAAAATGATAATGTGTGTTATGTCTATATACAAAATATTATAAATCAAATTGAAGTTTATGTCTATAACATCGAAATAACTGACTTTTATTAATTATTTTAAGGTATAAATAAGTAATTTTTGTTTATCTGTCTGTTCGTAATGCCTTGGTAGCTCGACTCGCTGTAAATTTTACAGTACCGTAAACACAGGGTTCGTACCCCGCCAGCAACAATTAAATTGCTAATTGCAACCTTAAGCGCTGATTTAGCACGTGCTCGGCAGTGAAGTTGGGTTAGCGCGTTGGACACTTCCTTGCCTTTGCCTT